GATATGTCATGGAAAAATAAAAGGCATGTTCCAAACCACCAACCAGTAATATATGAGAAACACATGGTTAAACACGATTTTTTTGATGATCATATGGGATATGATAGATATGTCATGGAAAAATAAAAGGCATGTTCCAAACCACCAACCAGTAATATATGAGAAACACATGGTTAAACACGATTTTTTTGATGATCATATGGGATATGATAGATATGTCATGGAAAAATAAAAGGCATGTTCCAAACCACCAACCAGTAATATATGAGAAACACATGGTTAAACACGATTTTTTTGATGATCATATGGGATATGATAGATATGTCATGGAAAAATAAAAGGCATGTTCCAAACCACCAACCAGTAATATATGAGAAACACATGGTTAAACACTATTTTTTGATGATCATATGGGATATGATAGATATGTCATGGAAAAAAAGGCATGTTCCAAACCACCAACCAGTAATATATGAGAAACACATGGTTAAACACGATTTTTTTGATGATCATATGGGATATGATAGATATGTCATGGAAAAATAAAAGGCATGTTCCAAACCACCAACCAGTAATATATGAGAAACACATGGTTAAACACGATTTTTTTGATGATCATATGGGATATGATAGATATGTCATGGAAAAATAAAAGGCATGTTCCAAACCACCAACCAGTAATATATGAGAAACACATGGTTAAACACGATTTTTTTGATGATCATATGGGATATGATAGATATGTCATGGAAAAATAAAAGGCATGTTCCAAACCACCAACCAGTAATATATGAGAAACACATGGTTAAACACGATTTTTTTGATGATCATATGGGATATGATAGATATGTCATGGAAAAATATAAGGCATGTTCCAAACCACCAACCAGTAATATATGAGAAACACATGGTTAAACACGACTTTTTTGATGATCATATGGGATATGATAGATATGTCATGGAAAAATAAAAGGCATGTTCCAAACCACCAACCAGTAATATATGAGAAACACATGGTTAAACACTATTTTTTGATGATCATATGGGATATGATAGATATGTCATGGAAAAAAAGGCATGTTCCAAACCACCAACCAGTAATATATGAGTAACACATGGTTAAACACGATTTTTTTGATGATCATATGGGATATGATAGATACGCCATGGAAAAATAAAAGGCATGTTCCAAACCACCAACCAGTATAAGATGTCTATATTCCCAATTGTGGTTGCCACATGTTGCCACCGATTTTCTGACAAAATTGAATGTGGTGATCCCAAAGTGATTGACCATTGTGCATTTCCCTTAAATCTCTTATCATTTCAGGCGATGTCGTGAAAGGAACAATTCTGAACAATATGCAAAAACGGGGTTAATGATACAAGGTGGTACCCCGTAGTTAGCTAACCTGGTTTATGACTCCAACTTCCAATTTCACTAGACTTTATGGAGGATATAACTATCTATAGTTTTTTTTACAGTTTATAAACCAACAAACATAACAGGCGGGGCGCCACCTTGTAGGCAATGTCAACTCCAACAAGCCCCCGATGTTGATCTCTGTGAGCTACCCTTTTAGCAGCACATGACTGGCTGGGAAAAATATATTATGATAAACCACGGGATGGAATGGGCTTTTCAGCCCAACATTGTCAGACAAAACCCAATGGTGAACTGATTGGTGGTATGTTTCTACCCCTCTGAAAAATATGAGTTAGTCAGTTGGGATTATTCTTCCCAGCCCAACTGAATGGAAAAAAACTAATCCAAATGTTCCAAAGCACCAAACATTTGATGCTGGAGGTACTTGATTCTTGGAGAAAACCCACTTACTACAAGCATCTACAGGCGCGCTAGATCGTCCAAGAACAGTGCCTGCCTCATAAGATGGCGAAACCCAGCCGGTTTCACGTCACTGATTGGTTACGCACAAGTTGCGTAACCATGAACTGCCCAGCAAGTGGCCGAAATATGCACTGTTTCAATCGGTCTCACCAGTTTCGCTGGATTGTTTTGCAGCAAACATGTTTGGTTAAAAGGCGAACAGGAAGAGCATTGGTCTCCTCTAGATTTTTGCTCATTTTGTTCATAGTGCAGATTTCCTTTCCTCCAAAGAGGGCAGTTGGTAAAAAAAGAGCTGTGCATCCTGACGCACATGTGCCACCGATGGCAAGGTGACAGTTTGGAGCCACTTAAAAGGCTGATCATTCTAAGGATCAGAAGCAATTCATCCGATGTTTAGATATGTTGCTTATTGGATTAGAACAAATCACTTCTTGTACTTGGAAGTACCGTGGGGGCATCTCATTTTGCTGTTTCTTTGTTCTCTAGTACTATAAAGCTACCAATTTTTGCCGCTGTAAACCTCCATAAAGCACTCTAAACTTTATAAACTTATTATAAGTCATACACCCGCATTTAGGGTATTTTAGGGTAGTAGTTAAGGTACCCATACCCATCTCAATGTAGAATCGTGAATGTCATCGCCAGTTTTTTGAGACATGGTTCCAACATGTTCCAACAAGTCACTCGAGGCGGAGGCAATAGAAATATCAGTCAATTTGGGACCATGGTCTCATATCCAAGGACTTCATCAAATGGGTAAGGAATTATATTCCATGTTAAGGGAGTTGCAATGATTTTAAAAGTATATCTGAAACAAACATTTTCAGGATTCTTGGACATTCTAGAGAAATTAGTTTCACTAAGCTTCAACAGTTGATATATATATATATATACATATACATATTATCATATATTCTGGAAGACTCCTGTATTGTCTCAAATAGATGTAATATCCAAGCTATCAATTTTTAAGGGCTTCCACAGTCACAATTGAATCCACATAAAGTCTGAGGCCAAACTCTCAAACAGAGGTCAGCAGGTTTGAAGCCAGTTGAGGTCTGCTAAATCATGGTTTCTGACGTGGCCACGAAACAAGGTTTCCAACACTGTTTGGTGCTTGAAGCACACATTTCAACATAGATTATGACAAGTCATCCAGTCGTTTATGATTAAACAAGTAAACTAAGGTAGTCCAGTAGTTCAGTCTAAAGTTGAACACTATTTAAAATAACCCACTGTATTTCAATGAATACGTATTTATCTTCGACAAATGGATAGCTATGAGGTATACAATAGGATACACAAATACAAGGTGATGCCACTCCAGTGATGTAAATCGGTTTATAAACCTTAATAATTGCAGTTATATCCTCCATAAAGCCAACAGTGAGATAAAGGAGTTATGTTCACCAAATTAGCGATTTAGCCCGGGGGCACCGCCTTGTATGAACATTAAGAAAATATACCTTTCATGGTTAGTTATCATTGGTGTCATCAGTTTACATTTTTCATCGTTTTTCCATCATGTTCCCAAGCTATGAACCATCTATAATGTTCATTCTACTCCCATAAAACAACCATTGTTTCCCATATTTGGTGGTTATCCTCTGGTAAACATAAAAAACTACGGAACATCACAATGTTTAATCGATAAATCAATTATAAATGACCAATTTTCTATAGCTACCCTCTGGTAATTTAACATAATCATGCAACATCACCATGTATACAAAAAAAAACCCATGAGAAATGGTGATTTTCCATTGTTACGGGACAGTTTACCGGAGGGCAACTATCTAGAATGAAATCCCTCTATATAGTGGGATACAACATGATATAACCATCTATAAATAATGGGATAAGAATTTTTGATAGCCCTATATAGCCATTTAAGGGGTTTAATGTTAAATTACCAGAGGCTAAAATACCATGAAAAAACAATCGAAAGTGGGATTGTCCACCCATCCTCTCGTTGAAATCGGCGAAATGCCGGCGGACAATGGATTGGGAATATCCCATTGAATCTCCATGAAATACCATGAAATATCATCATTATCTATAATTAATATGAGACATATTATATATATATAAATATATTTATATAGTTTGACAAATATATATATATATATAAAACATATTACAAAATATACATATATATATACTATATAAAATATAATATATTATTTAAATACATATGTAAATCTAGGTAGTGGAGTTAAATTAAACATCATTAAAACAGCGTCTAATTGTGATTTCCCGCCAGTAATTCAACATGGCAAGCAGGGCTTGCACCCCGAATGAATTTAGTTCGCTGGGAAAGTCAACGAACCGGGGAAACTTTCCAGCACGCCATGTTGGATTACCGGAGGGCAACGTGATAAACCCAATGATCAAGGACCAACAACATGTACAAACAGATTGGTGATTTAAGCAACACCAACCAGCTTGTGATTTTCAGGCCAGGGCCAACGGTTGCCTCAAACTATGACAAAACCCATCCGCTTAAATAGTTCAAAACCAATAGTGGTAGATGTATTGAGGATATATGTGGTTGGTGGTTTCAACCCCTCTGAAAAATATTAGTCAATGGAAAGAATTATCCCATATATTATGGAACATAAAACATGTTTGAAACCACCAATCACTAATGATTCTTGTCATGGTCTGGATGTGATAAAAAACCCATGTGGGATAGCTTCTAGCACCCATAAAAATGGTCAACTTGGGGATGGTTTCAGTTTATGGTCGGGTTTACCACATGAATTCTCTTCAGTTTCTATCAGTTTCTACAAAGTGGTGCCCCATAGTTGGCTAACTTGGCGGACATAACTCCAACAACTAGGGTTTATGGAGGATCTAACTATAGTTATTGTGGCTTACTATGTCTTTTTTATAAACCAACTTATAACTGCGTGTTTCAAATTTTCGCTTATCAGAGTTCCGTCCTGGACCTAAACATCATCAAAATGATGTGAATCACAACCATGGGGATATTACAGTACAATGGCCTGCTGGAGCAAGAACAAATAGTTAAAGAAGTCAATTGGCACCAATACTATTTTTGGTCAACCTTAGAAGCCCTATGGATACATACATTGCAAACAATCGTTACTCATTTTAGGTAGCAGGTCTATGTTCTTATCAACATGGCAAAGCGTGGACCCATAGCTGATGTTTTGGGAATCCATTGGGGACATTTCAACATTCTCCAACCTTCTTTCAGCCACATTTTTTTTAACAGACTGTGAAAACCAGAGGCCAAAGCAATCGCTATCGGCACAAGGCCGAAGAGATCGCAGCCTCGGCAGCCAAGTTCATGGCTGTGGGATATCCATCCACGAGTCAGCCATACCAACTGGATAAAACTTGGAAGAGGTTGAACACATTGATTGTATCTTAATACATTGAATAATATACATATCTCTATATATATATATTGGATATCCATAGTCATCCATGGATATCCGTTGATTGCGAAGATGGTTGAAGACATTGAACACATTGATTGCTAGATATTGCTAGACATTACTAGCGCTTTTTGTGCAGTGACAAAGTGTAAAAGGAAAAACCAAATCATATCCTTTGAGTTGAACGAAACTTGGATTTGAAACAAGGAATTAGATTGAGGCCTCATGATTTCTTTGCCGTCAACTTACTTGAAGATACTTCAAATTGCGCAGAGAAACAAGTTGTGTGTACGCACATACTTATAATATATCTATATATAGATATATAGATACCTTAATATATGGGCGACGGAAGTTATATATGGGGTTATAATTACTGCAAACGGAGCGGACCCTCCTCGTGTTGAATCTAACTTTGGGGTCAAAACAATTATTTCCACTCGAAGACTGCACTGTCAATGCCGGAAAATAAACACAGCTGTTCCTTTCTGTTATGTAAATAAATGTGTAGTATATAATAAGAATGACGCTATATCTGGAACCCAAACAAATGCCGCTGTATCGAAATGGGAAGCAATATTGGATAAACACTTCCCAAATACTCTCCGGAACACGACCCAGCACAGCATGAGTAGACATTAAACAAAAAACAGCGGTCCATCGTGAATACATTTGAATACCCTTAACAGATCTTCTTAAAGCATGTGTTTTGGGTAAGTATGACATATTCTGGTTGGTGGTATACCTACCCCTCTGAAAAATATGAGTTCGCCAGTTGGGATGATGAAATTCCCAATATATAGAAACATAATACAGCTATGTTCCAAACCACCAACCAGATACTGTAGTTATTCTGGTTTATAAAGTAACCAGATACTGTAAGTATGACATATGTATGACATATTCCATCTTGATCCATCTTATCATTGGATTGGTTTAAGGGAAAATCTTAACCGGAAACCATGGTTTTTCCCATTAAATATGGGGCTTTCCTGTAAATTTTCCCATCATCCAATTCTATGATCTTGTACATTCTTCATCGCCACCAGATCGCAACTGCTTGGCGGACCCCATGGATGAATCCTCGGCGTCGACGCGTCGACAGCCCTGCGGAGATGGTGGCTCGGATCGTCGATCAACGAATGACAACGGACCAACAGCAACAAACATGGTGATTGCAACATAAAAAATGGGATTTCTAATGAAATCATGAAAAACATGGTGATTAGCTAATGAAATCATGAAAAACATGGGACTTGATGACTTGATCCATCAGTTTCTCCATGAAAAAATGCTGAAAACTAGCAGCCTGGTGGAATCCTAGGACTGATCTACGTTTCGGGTTTAGGTCCCGGCACGGTTTCTGGTATATGAAACAAATGATCTAAAGAAACACCCAGGAAGTAGAAAGGATAACCACAACGAATGATAGGTCGATAGGTCGGTTTATCATGGTTTATCCGTATGTTTTGAGCTTCAGATGTGCTTGATAATTTTAAGGCGACCTGCAACTAACCTTCAATCAGGAATGGTTTACAAAACCATTTCTGGCAAAGTTGGGAATGAATCAGTATCAGCTTTACCACATAAAATCCCAAGCCAGAATTAAAGCCATGTTTGTTGCAGTTTAAGGCCACATCTTTGATGCCTCATTTAGGGCCAATGCGCCAATGCTGGTGAGTGCTGAGTGAAAAATCCATCCCGACAGAGGGATTGGAGAATCCCCACATGGAGGGTTTCCTAAAAGTCATAGGGGTATCCAAAATGGATGATTAATTTCATGGAAAATCCGAGTAAAATGAAAAATTCTGGGGGTAGCCCGGATTGGATTGGAACCTCCACATGGACTGGAAACCAAATCTTCATTCTTCGTCGAATCCGAATCTTCGATGCTCAAATATCTCAAATCAGAATTCCCGTGATTAAATCCACTACCCTCTGGTAATTTGACAATATGGAAATTGACCAACTTTAGCTCTTTATGAACCTTTACGTATAAAAACATGATAATTGTCCAGTTCAACTACCAGAGGGTATATAAACCCCCTACATCCCGTGGCGGCGTGAACATTGGCAGGTGATTTTTTGTTCGAAAAATCCGAAAAGTTACAGGAGAAACGAACATTTTACCCATGTTGTGTTGGTCATTGAATAGATCCCATGATATATTGATAACATCTATTGACTTTGAAGTATATTATATATTGATAACATCTATTATATATCAAATAGATCCCATGATTATTAAATAAATAAATAAATATATAAATAAATAAATAAATATATATATATATACTTGACCCCATTGACCTATTGGCTTTACAAGTATGCCCATGTTTCTTGGTGGAATCATCATGGGGTTTTAAAAAAAACGAGTGGATGCCTCCCTGGTCGAATTCGAATGTTTGATGTTTCAACAAGTCTTTGTTTGATTAGATCAATTTAGATGGGCATGGGTCAAAACCTATTACACTACCATATTTGGGGGAATAAACAACCATAAACAGCTATGTTAGGGTACCATCCGGGCACCAGGGTTTTGATTCAGAACCAAATCCAGAAGTACCTCAGATTCCACAGGATTTCATAAATTAATGCGGTGTTTCCCGCCACAAACCTACCATGACTGGGAATGTTTCACCTGTGGTGACGTTACTCGGGACGGTTTACCATATGGCCATGACCGAGGGTTCCTAAAAATCATGGGGGTATCCAAAATGGTTGCTTTATTTCATGGAAAATCCTACTAAAATGGATGATTTGGGGGTACCCCTATGGATTGAAAACCACCATTTGGGTTTGTCTGACAATTTAGGGAACATTTTTTTTGGTTTTTCAAAAATCATAAATCACAATTTTTCCAGCGCCATTCTTTTTGGAACAGTTTCAGTCACACCCAGTTATCCCGTTAAAAATTCATTTAAATTACTTTACTTCGTGTGATCCCCACCATGACATTTATACATTTTGTTACTGGCAAATCTTCTGGCATTCTATCTGACATATTTTCTGGCATTCGATCTGGCATTCTATCTGGCATATCTTCTGGCATTCTACCTGGCATATCTTCTGGCAGATGTTCTGGCATATCTTCTGGCAGATGTTCTGGCATATCTTCTGGCATATCTTCTGGCATATGTTCTGGCATATCTTCTGGCATTCCATCTGGCATTCTATCTGGCATATCTTCTGGCATATTATCTGGCAAATCTTCTGGCATTCCATCTGGCATTCTATCTAGCATATCTTCTGGCATATTATCTGGCAAATCTGCTGGCATTCTATCTGGCAAACATTCTGGCACTTTATCTGAGATATCTTCTGGCATTCTAGCTGACATTCTATCTGGCATTCTATCTGGCATACCTTCTGGCATTCTATCTGGCATATCTTCTCACATTCTATCTGGCATATCTTCTGGCACTCTATGTGGCATATCTTTTGGCGTGGATACTCGCGGTTGAGGTCCGGCAGGGAACACTGGGCGTGGATGGTCGTGGTTGAGGTCCGGCAGGGAACACTGGGCGGGGATACTCGTGGTTGAGGTCCGGCAGGGAACACTGGGCGTGGATGGTCGTGGTTGAGGTCCGGCAGGGAACACTGGGCGTGGATGGTCGTGGTTGAGGTCCGGCAGGGAACACTGGGCGTGGATGGTCGTGGTTGAGGTCCGACAGAGAACACTGTGGATCGCGAGTCGCAGTTGAGCAGGAGGACGAGGAGGACAACGAGAGGAGGAGGAGGAGAAGGAGGAGGACGAGGAGGACGAGGAGGACCAGGCAACTGACATAAAATCTAACAACCCTCACCTGGCAGGTGGGGAATGAACATATACCCCATTAAATCCCATTAAAATCGTAATTTTCTCATGATTTAAACCCCATGACAATGAAAATCCGCAAACCACTACTCTGTTCACCCATAGAGAACCTTGGATAACCCCGTGCGACATCCAGTTTGCTATTCAAAATAACCATAAAAATAGTTAACGTCCCATGAAAAAAATGATTTTCCTTAGTTATCTTAGTTTACCAGAGGGTAACTTTGGATGTTCCACACGTTTTTTCTCCGTTCCTGAAGAAACCCATGGCATCCTACACAGCCATTCTTAGGTCAACATCCCGACCTCCAAAGCCTATAGGCATACGACCTGCTGCTCGCATCGAAGTACAACGCCTGGGCAAAAATCACCAAATGAGAAAATTCACCAAGAGATGGCGGGTATTTTCATGATTTGGCAGTTGAAAATGGGGATCTAACGATGAACATATAATATGGGGATATAACCAACAATATGTGGTTTATGAAAATTTGGAGGTGTCCAAAGTCATGGGGGGTTAGCCCCATCCAAGTCATGGATGACCATGACTGTTTATTGAAACCCATTGTGACTCGGGGATCCCCCACGCCAATGGCCCGGGTGAGCCCACGAAACCCATGTGGCCATGACATCCTCCGAAGTGTGTGTAATCTTGGCGAATACTCTTGCCTGAGAATTCCAGTGGTCAAGGCAATTGTTGTATGTCGCCACACAAGGTGCCACCTTGGTGTATCAACCTACGAGTATGTTCACAACCGGTTGAGGTGATGATCCAGATTCATCCTCTAACAATCAAATTATACAACAAACAATCCCCACTTTTGGTCGGAAAGTACTCTATCAATCTGCAAAATTGTAATATTTCACCAACCGTCAAAAGCGCCAGTCTGGGAGAGCTACCCCTAAACCCAACACAACCATTTTACCATGTGACATTGCAATGAGGTCCTCAAGAAACATGGACAGATATACTCCATGAACATGGACAAACCCAAACATACCGTTTACTATCCATGAACATGCATACAATCCACATGGTGGATAAAATTAACTTGTCATGTTCTTTATCTTTCGTACCTCGCTGTTTTTCATGATTAAATACCTATGTTTAAGGCTCAACTCCCATATTTGCTGATCCAGTTAACACTTGTGTTGGTTACAGTAAATCACATGTTATATTGTTTGGCTGCTTAAATCAACATGTCTGCTGCTTAAAACACATTTGATGTTGGTTAAAGCATTTCTTTTTGCTGGTTGAATATGTTTTTCTTGCTTCCCCTCTGGTGATCAAAACATTTTTTCCGAAGGGCCATGCAGCTTCGATTGAGCCACACGTCCGCAGCAGCGCATCCAAAAGTGGTTGACTACTTCAATTTCGGGGCGAGAAGAAGTGTGCAAGAAAAAGTAGAGGATCATGGATCTTGAGACCCATCCATGTGCAAAAAAATGTGCAAGGTGGGACCCATCCATCGAAGGCGTTGAGAAAACAATTCCCGATAACCACGGCGATTTTGTCGGTGGAGTAAAATAGTTTGAAGTCTACGAATACGGGCTGTTTCGGATCTAAGACTCTGATGTGACCGGTTCCGCGACGCACGGCAGGGTTCGCGAAGGCAAATTGTACGGGGTGATCTTGTAGAAGGACCATGGTCTCCCGGCTAGCCTCTGGCGGCCCCTGCCAGCTTTAGCTGCTCATCGAGTAAAATGGGACTGTGTCCAGTAAAGGAGTGGTACTGCCTCTGGCCCCTTTTGGGGATCTGAAGCTGTGATGCATCCCTAGGCCTACGCTGAAAAACATGAGCAAAATTGCCAGCAGGCTACATCGGTGAAACAGGTGCAAACTGAACTCAGGTGCGTCAGCTCATTGTTGGTGTAGGGGTCCATGCCAAGAACGATGTCCTGGAAGAGATATGAGTTGTTGATGAAGTTGGTAAGCTCATCCACTACGTAGTCGAACTGGAGGATATTGGTCAACTCAAATGAAGAACCTAGGATCTGCTGGTAAGAGTTCCTCTCGTTCTTTCTGAAGTGGAGGTGGTAGTCACAAAAGGGGGCATGGTCTTTGTACAATGAGATTGCTGCATCGATGTACATCTTTGGTGAGACCTGTGCCGATCTTGTATTGATGGAAGAGCTGCTGAATAGTTATGGAAAGTCCAAGTGCTACTCGGGGTCCTTGTTCTTCATGTAGAAGGATATTCCAGTCGAGGTTGTTCATTGTAAATCCTGTAGCTGGTAGTCCCCGAAGTAGGAGTGATTTGTTGTCAATCGTGGATTCCAATGTCTTCAATCTGGCATCCATGGAGTCGATCTGACTGTGAGTGATGTACTGCTCGAGGATGCTCTAGTAGTAGCTCGATGTTGCCTGCTAAGTTCAAGTTCTTCTGGAGTGAGGGTCTCAGTGGTAGTAGGTGATGTAGCCGATGTGGCTTGAGGAGGGTGAGGTGGAGAAGCTTCAGGTAGTTCTTGAGATTCTTGAGATCTTGAGCTTCTGGCTGCTTAATATCCATGGCTTCAATTAGGAATTGCTTCAATAAATGTGTTTTGTAAATGAAACATAGTAACAAGTGAGGGCACGGCCCAATCAACATGTGGTCCATGAAAGTAAGCATTGAAGGGGAAGGACACAGAAAAGGGCATGAAACTTGGGGCATGCAGTACCAATTGGCATGACAGCATTGCTGACTGTGTGGCAAAAGCTAAAGCTCGTGCCAAATGCCTGGTGATCAAACATGGCAATTAAAAATCCTCAAGATTTTTAGTCGATGAGCTATGTTAAATTACCAGAGGGTAAACCATTGAATTTTGAAACCATCTGCCGATAATTGCGTTTTTATGTACAACTACCGTCCAGTAATCAATCATGGCAATGAGCATGTCCCCATTCATACATGTTTTCCCATTAAAACCTCCATTTACAAGGGATTTCCCAGCCATGTTTGAGGACACCGAAGAGTAGCCATCAGTTATAATTTGTTTTATAGTCCATGAAGTGTACAGTAGATGTATCTGGGTTCTATGTTGGGCCATCTTGGCTCTATCTTGGGGCCATCTTGGGACTATGTTAGGTTTTGTTGGGTCGTCTTGGGCCTATGTTGGCCCAGCTTGGGACTATGTTGGGCGTTCCTGGGTTCTATGTTGGGCCATCTTGGCTCTGTGTTGGCCTATCTTGGGGCATGTTGCGCGATGCAGCAACTTGACTCCTTGTAATTCTCCCCAGAGAGCAGTTTTTACTGTAATTTATAGTGTTTTTTGCACATTTCCAACACCCAAATCACCCTGCCCACCCCCCCCACCCCCCTCGCATGGCTCCTTATGTTGGGCGTTCCTGGGTTCTATGTTGGGCCATCTTGGCCTATCTTGGCCCATCTTCAGATTCTCCCCCGCAAAACTCTCAAATTCTACATTCCGTTGCATAACTTTAAGTTCTTTTACATTCCATTAACTCCAGACTATAGATGTATCTGTTCTATTCCCAATGATATTCCCATTCATATCCGATTAGCTACAGTCCAAGAGTCGAATAACTTCTTCCATTACTGGGATATTCTATATACTAATACATTAGCTAGTGGAATATCCACCATTAACTCCCAATGATATTCATATCCCAGTAGCTATAACTTAAACCATAGTTAGTGGAAGAATATAATCAACTATAATTAATCCCATTAATACTCCCATTGATACGTCCATGAATCTTCCCATATTCCCATTAATATTCCTTGAGTGTATCCTAAAAATATGTGTGTAGTTTAATTATTGGTTGATTAGCGACATCCACTGTAGTCTATATTGTTAACCAACTAATCATATCCCAGTGATTCATGTACCTGTCTATACAGGATGGCCCCCCCAGATATAAGTTGGTTTATAACCCCATCTAATATCTAAATACAAGTATCAGACACTATTGTTATTATAGTTATAAACCAACTTAGCTAACTCTGGGCAAATTACAATATTTCACTACCCTGAATTGTTGGGCAATTTGGGGATGATTTCCCTTATTAATCATGATGTCAGGGAGGGAGAACAGTGAAGTCGTTAAAATTTACCCATATATAGATGTATATATATATATATAACTATATATATGTGTGTGTGTTGGGCCGTATAAAACCATTTATGATATCATCTGCTACAGGTCCATCTTACAATTTACCATATAAAATAATTTACCATATAGTTGATTATCTGGTTGGTTTTAACCATCTTGAAAAATATTAGTCAATGGGAAGGATTGTCCCATATATTGTGGAAAATAAAACATGTTTGAAACCACCACCCAGTTATTTTTCTCCATCTTTTTTATGAAAAAACATCCAAGCTACAGGTCCAGGAAGTTGAGGCGGTCGAAGGAGTCAGGTTGCCTGCGGCCCGCCCAATGAGGTCTCATCAAACATGGCTGGCCGAACAAAATTTCCGAAATTCAGCATTTAAAGGGGAATATCATCTACGAACTGGTTAGAATATCATGGAATATCTGGATAATGGATTAGATTTTGCAGGATTTAATGCATTTTAATGGGATTTATATAATGGGATTTTGATGGATTTTGTAATATGTCTGGATAAGTTTCTGTCATTCACTAGCTTGAATAAGATCATATGGAGGAATTGTATGGAATTCTAATAATTCACTGAGGTGAAAAGTCAATCAGAATCATCGTCAAAGCTTTTCATGAAAAAAAGATTTAATCATCTGGATAGACTACATAGATTTGACGGTCATTGGGGAATCTAATAGGGAAAAGCTTGTGGGATATAATGGAATATACAAACAACATCAAACAACAATATCTGGGTAAATTATAATCATTCACTCACCTGAATTGTTGGGCCATAAAAGGGGGTGATTTCCCTACATCTAAACCATGATTTCCAGGGTTCGGGAGAACAGGGTTCGGTCGTGATCAAATTTACCCAGATATATATATAAGATATATCTGGACACATTAGGATAACCTGGTAACCTGAAATGTTGGGTCACAAAAGGGGATGATTTCCCTAAAATAAACCATGATTTCAGTGAGGGAGAACAGTGAGTTTGTGACAAGTCATATTTTTGAATTTAGGATACCCTAAAGAAAAGGAAATGCTACCCTCAGGTAGTTGACAAACCTCTGGAATGTGGCCATTTGCCCATGAAAATTTGTGCTCTTCCATGATCTTCCGTAGCTATGTTAAATAACCAAAGGGTAGCTAGTCAGTGATTTAATCAACAAAATGTAGGAATGGCGCACACAAATGTAGGATATTTGTAGGATACCAACCCACCATTTGTAAAGTCATGAATAGCCCAAACTGACCCTATCATTATCCCATTGATAACTGGGTTCGAACCATGGCATACCTGAAGTTACAGTAACTTTTCGTCAAAATTAGAGTCTCAAAATAAGAAAATAAAAAACACACATATATATAGATATACAGATATATAACTATATAACTATAAATAACTATATATATAAATAACTATGTATATATATATAATTATATAATTATATATTATATGATGTATATAGGTCCAGAACTTACCTTGTTCACCAGTAAATTTCATGGCCCCCCTGGACCCCGGGCATCCCTCGTTTTTTTTGGGCCAAGGCACTCTGTGGGGAGCAGACGAAGCCACGTCCCGAGCCCATCGTCTCAGAGCGTTTCCGTGCGAAGAGCTGTTGGGACTCGCGCGAGTCGACGTCCTTGACGTCGCTTAGAGCGCTGGTGGACTTGCACTTGGACAACTTCGCACACAACAACCTCAGGCTTGAGCTTAAGGTACGGATAAATGGCCCGAAAAAAAAAAAAAACAGTTATAAGTCAGTAAGTAGAAGTAAGTCAGTCCATGGAATTATACCACCATTTATAACCACAAAAAAAAAAGGTTTTGTAGGCGACACCACCATGATCGGTGCCCAGGTTCTGGAAGAAAATCATGGTTTCCCCTTAAATGTCTTCAGTTTTTGATAACTGAATCCTATGTTACTAATTAAAATAAAGAAACAACTACATAATTGATGTGAATATCATTGATTTTTTAGACTCTTGCACATTGAGAGAGCAAATACAATCAATCAATCAATGATCTGGGTGAATTATACGAATTCACTAACCTGAATTGTTGGGCCATTTGGAAAAGATTTCCCTAAAATAAACCATGATTTCCAGGGTTCGGGAAAACAGTGAGGTCGTGATCAAATTTACCCATATAATTATATACGACTTCTTGAGAATCCGCTTTCAAGCTTCTAGATCCGCCCCTTTCTCCGGGGGAGTGCTACCTTGAGGGGGAAGATGTTTCCGTTGTGATTGAATTTTGGGGATTGTGATGGCAGCTCCAAATCTCTTTTGTGGGATGACGCAATCCTACATGTGACACATTGAACATTTCAAAATAGGAATATTGTTACATTTCTTGAGAACTAACATTGGATCTAAGTATTCGGAACGACACTGGCATCATTATAGTAAGTATGTCTTTGTTCTCTTTGTTATCGTAAAACTTAATCTTATAGTTTATAACTCCTCTAAGTGGGTTTATCCCATATATGTATATATATATATAGATATTATATATATATGTGTTTTAAGTGGGTCATGGCATGACTATGATTAATCAATCCCCATCCCTGGGATGATAGCAACAAACGCAACCGGGTCGACCCTTTGATGCCAACGTTGCTTTACCTTACTTGGATAACTGGATAACTGAGTTAACCGGGTCAACAGACTATTCCATAACCAAAACGAATTATTCTTTAACCAAAACAAATCATTTCTCAACCAAGGATTATTCCATAACCAAAACGTATTATTCATCAACCATGAATTGTTATTCCTCAACCAACGATTATTCCACAACTAAGACAAAATATTCTTTAACCAAACCGTATGATTCCTCAACCAACCATTTTTCCATAACCAAAAAATGTTATTCCAACACCAAAAGGGACTTGAACCAAAAGAATCTTGTATAATGCAAGTAAGTCGCAGTAGTCTTCCTTAAGAAGCGGGGCTGCTTGCTGAATACTTAAATTTGATCTATTGTTTTGCGGGGGTGGGGGATTTTTAATTGTCTTGTATCTTGTCAAAAATATTCTATAATGAAAGTAAGTATCAGTAGTCTTCCCTAAGAAGCAGGGCTGCTTGCTGAAGACTTAAATTGGATCTATTGTTTTGCGGGGGTGGTGGATTTTTAATGTCTTGTAACTTGTCAAGAATCTTCTATAATGAAAGTAAGTAGCGGTAGTCTTCCCAAAGAAGCAGGGCTGCTTGCTGAAGACTTAACTTTGATCTATTGTTTTGCGGGGGTGGTGGATTTTTAAATGTCTTGTAACTTGTCAAGAATCTTCTGTAATGAAAGCAAGTAGCGGTAGTCTTCCCTAAGAAGCGGGGCTGCTTGCTGAATACTTAAATTTGATCTATTAATTTGCGGGGGTGGGGGATTTTTAAGTATCTTGTATCTTGTCAAAAATCTCCCTTAATGAAAGTCAGTATCGGTAGTCTTCCCTAAGAAGCGGGGCTGCTTGCTGAATACTTAAGTTTGACCTATTGTTTTGCGGGGGTGGGGGATTTTTAAGTATCTTGTATCGGGTCAAAAATCTTCTATAATGAAAGTAAGTAGCTGCAGTCTTCCCAAAGAAGCGGGTCTGCTTGCTGAAGACTGAAATTTGATCTATTGTTTTGCGGGGGTGGGGGATTTTGAGGTTTCCTGTAATCAGTTAAGAATCTTCTATAATGAAGTTAGTAGCGGTAATCTTCCCAAAGAAGCGGGGCTGCTTGCTGAAGACTTAAATTGGATCTATTGTTTTGCGGGGGCGGGGGTTTTTAAAGGTCTTGTAACTTGTCAAGAATCTTCTATAATGAAAGTAAGTAGCGGTAGTCTTCCTTAAGAAGCGGGGTTGCTTGCTGAATACTGAAATGTGACTTATTGTTTTGCGGGGGTGGGGGATTTTTAAGTATCTTGTATCTTGTCAAAAATCTTCTACAATGAAAGTAAGTATCGGTAGTCTTCCCTAAGAAGCGGGGCTGCTTGCTGAATACTTAAATTTAATCTATTTTTCTTTCGCGGGGGTGGGGGATTTTTCGTATTAGTATCCTCTTACCCAAAGTAAATCTGTTTGCATCTGTCTCTTAATCTGTGGCGCCTCGTGCCCAAGACTTCGTGACACCAAATGGTCGTGGTCTCCAAGCGCCAAACTTCACTAGCAGTGAGCCACTCCTTCACAAGCTGGAACACATCCAGCCGCAATGGGCTCTGAGCCATTTGAGCCAGGAAGCACTACGTCAGATTCGACATGGATCCCTGAATGATAGACGGCACATGCTGTCTGTCGTTTTGTTTTTGTCGGCTCGTGTCAGTGCTTGCATTGCCATGGACTGTTTGTAGAACTGGGAGAGCATTCCTGGTGGAATCCATAGTTGTTAGTTGTAGAATCGCGGCATTTTGGTTGTGGAATCGTGAGAGTGTGGTTGTGGAATCGTGAGAGTTTGGTTGTGGAATCGTGGGAGTTTGGTTGTGGAATCGTGGGAGTTTGGTTGTGGAATCGTGAGAATGTGGTTTTGGAATCGTGAGAATGTAGTTGTGGAAGCGCGCCGGTTTTGGTTGGGGAATCGCGTGGTTTGGTTCTGGAATCGCGTGGTTTTGGTTCTGGAATCGTGAGAACGTAGTTGTGGAATCGGGCTTTGTTCGAGTTAACTGGGGTTTATAGGGATATAACTATAGTTTATGGTGGCTTCTACACCAACAAACATAGCTGGGGGGCCACTTTGGAGCTATGATGTTGCATTCTGGGATGTGGTCTTTGGAGATTTCTGTCGAAGTGCCAACAAACCCAATCAAGAAGAGCGGAAGTTGGCAATAAACCTATGAATATATCATCACTAGTGTTTTCATGAATTGTAACCAATTATTAAGTCATACTAATGACAATCACTATAATCATTCAATAAAAAAATGATCATAATAATAATAAGAATATAATCACATGATAATCATCACAAATGATCTACCGTTTAATATTCTTTATACTATCCCGAACTATCCCATATTCCCGATATATCTCCTATGTTTTTCCCAAAAATATCCATTTATAGTGGATTTTCCGATATTTTCCCATTGCATCACATTATAATTAATCTCATTAATATACATATATCTATATAATTTGGATTTGTTTAAGAAGCGAACAACAAAAAAAAACAATATTCCTATTCACTGAATAGATTCCCAAATGAGTATTGGATTCCCCCCAATAAGTAATGGATTTCCCATTAAATCCAAATTAGAATGGATGTTCCGATATTTTCTCTATTAAATCCCGTAATTATATTATATCTCCATCATCAAGGCATTTTGGCCGTTCAGGAGCTCTCGCATCTCCGCCCGATCTGCCGCACGCTCCATCAAGAGCCGCCTGCGTAGAATGTCCTTCTCGAACCTGGGCAACAGTGGGATTTAACAATCAACATCTGGAATTTAAGCAGCCACATGTGGGATTTAAACATGAAGTTCAACCATCAAATTGGGATTTAAATGGAAAATAGATGAACATGGCAAATATGGGATTTCACCAGCAACATGTGGGATTTATGAAGGAAACATTGGGAACTTTAACCATCGATTTATGTGGGATTGTTTATACATTGAAATGGTGATGTCCCAAAAGCCAATCCTGAATTTCCGAAATCCTAGGCAAATCGCATCAAACAATTCCGAGGTTTCGATATGTTTCAACCATCAACATTGGGATTTAAATGGGAAAATGATGAAACATGGAATACTGGTTGGTGGTTTCAACCCCTTCTGAAAAATATTAGTCAGTTGGGGTTACTATTCCAAATATATGGGAACATAATCCACATGTTCCTTAAACCACCAACCAGAATAAGGATGATTGAGGGGGATCTAGCCTCTGGTAGCTTGTTGCAAAGCTATGGAACATGGATTAAAACTGCGGATGAAAAAAATGGGATTTGCCCATGTTTGGCTACTAAAATAGTGATTTACCATTACAACATGTTTAATTTGCAGAGGACATGGGTATGTATACTCTAGGTAATATACTCTAAGTAATCCCATCTGATTATTTAACATAGCGAACTGGAAAATCACCATGCTATTCATTAATAGGTAAACCAGTAAACCATCTATTTCTATGGGCCATCTATACCATGGCTATGTTAAATAACCAGAGGGTAATATGGGATGAACCAGGGCACATTTTTGACACTAGCACCCCATCATCCAGGTCTCTCGTGAAATCCACAGCTTTGTTGACACATACCCGGCCTGGTAAACATACAAAAAGCGAACTGGAAAATTGCCATAGAAATAGTGAGTTTTCCCAAAAAAAAATGGTGATTTTCCATAGTTATGTAACTGTTTACCAGGCCGGGTATCACTTGTTGGCTGGTTAAAACCAATCTTTGATTGATCAAAACATAGTAAAACTCTGTGCATCTCCATTTTTTGCTGGCTGCTTTCCCAATTTTTGTCAGCTAGCAACATCCATTTCTGTTCTTTGAAACCAACAAACACCTCCACTTTCCGTTGAGCCAAGCATCCGCTCGGGGTCATGACCCACACGAACCAGGAATGCCTCCCGCAAGACATGGATGGTGAATCACCTTTACCCTCTGGTAAACTAACATAGCCATTGAAAATGGCCATTTATAGTTGATTTACCCCAAAAAAAATGTGGTTTTCTATAGTTATGTTAGTTACTGTTAGTTTACCAGAGGGTAACCAGCAACATTGAAGACCTAAACAACAGAAATGATGATTAATAATCTAATGTGGGTAAAACAATCGTAAACCACCCCCAAATCACAATGTTTTGGTTGGTGGTATGGTCACCATTCCCAGGAAAATGTGGTAAAAATGGCATTGTTTTAACCCACATCAACCAGATAACCAGGCATTAATATCATGACCATATTAACCACTGTTAAACACTCATTATAACCATAGATTAACCACTTATAATGATCCTTCCAGTGGGTTTTCGAGACTAAAACTTAGTGGTGATAGTTGACTCACAGCTACTCCCATAGGTTCCCCGACTTCAAATCCCCCCTACTTCGCTGGTGAAATCGATAAACATCGAAATCCTGCACCTGGGATGGTAGAAAGGCTACAAATAATGGGATAAACCACCTATTAACTGGTGCAGGATTTCGCAACCACAATATTTCAACTATAGTTTAACGGTGGATATATTTATCACCAAGATTTCCAACATATTTCAACTATTCAATGGATTGGTTTTGTTGGGAAAATCTTAACCGGAAACCATTAGATTTTCCCATTCAATATGGGGGTTTCCCGTAAATTTTCCCTTAAACCAATCCATTGAACTATAGTTTAATGATGGATTATCAACTAATGTTAGTAGAGCAATAATAAAGCCTGCATCCGAAATGTTACCATGAGTGGGTGGTATAAACCACCAAAACATGGGTGGTTTATTGCTTTCCGAACACTACGGCAAGACCTTATGGTTTGCCCGGAAGCTTAGAACGGTGTTCAAACATTATTCGTCGACGTCCTCAAACACTTGTGCAGGGCCAGTAACCGCAAACCCCAAAACCCTTAACCCTAAAGCCCTAAACCTGAAAACCTTAAAACCCTTAATTAACCCTGAAGACTCTGAATCCTAAACCACAAAAAAAACTGCGTATACGCAGTATGTTCTGCAATCTATCCTATCAATGTGTGACAAAATCAGGCATCCTCCATGTTGCAGTCCGGGCAAACCACGTTGTCTGTGCGCAGCATTGGTTCGCTGGGTGGTATCCCCATTATGGTCTGGTGAACGCCCCGTCTAATTTTGCACAAACCATCACAAAGCCATGTTCATCCACTACAGTCAAACGACAAACTCATGCCTAACTCATGCCTGGGTCAAAACTTGCTAGTAAATCACCATGGAATCGCTGTTTCAAGAAACTCATGCCTAAGCCTAAGTCATGCCCAAATCTTGAAACACCATGGAATCGCGTATGTATAAGAAGAATGTTTCCACACTTGGGAAAATCAAATGTTCGCAAAAATCCGTCTACAGTTGCATTCTACCGTTCATGTTTCTGGGGTTGAGAAATACTGCCGCTTCGGTCCGCTGACTTTTTTCGCTTTGCTGACTCTTTTCGCTTTGCTGCTCTCGGTCCATCAGTGGCTTCGCGAACGACGTCCGAACGACGTAGCAAACGACGTCAAAAAATAACAAGAAAGGCTCTCTGCCCACCCGCCTGCGGAACCACATAAGAAACTAAAACCGACACGGAGACACAACAATGACCCTTCTCACCTCCATCTCAAGCAACACGCTGAAGTGCCACAATGCCCCGTTGAGCACGCAGTGAAAAGTGAAAATGGCTGCCGCAGCACACTGGAAAGAAAAAGATAGAAACACCAACTCATCGCTACACTCACATCCAGTTTGACTTGGTATGGAAAAGGTTACTCTTGATGCTAAACACAACCTAAACGCAAGATTTATTAACAATATGGAAAAGGTACCCTTGATGCTAAACACAACCTAAACGCAAGATTTATTAACAAAAACTATTCCAAAGACCAAATCCAACAAAACATTGCAATTCCTATGCGTTTTACTAAAAAGGCACGACTTTTCAAATCAAGTGCTCCCCAGCTATTTACGATGATTTCCAAATTTTAGGCACGACTTTAGCATTCCACTGTACTTGTTTGTTAAATCCATAGCTTTTCTTTTGATGGTCAAAAATCCCATGAGGAAAAAACATGGGATAATTCCCATTGCTTGAATCACTGTTAGCACCAAAAGTTAGCGATCCATTTACCCGGCCTGGTAAACTGTCCCATAACGAACTGGAAAAACATGTGTCTTTTTTACGGGGAAAACTCACTATTTCGACTGGGCCATGTTCAATGCTTTTTTGCCCCAATGATTGGTCAAATCCCCAATGATTCCGCCCATCGTTATCTCATCAAAACCTTGTCCCATTCAGTAGACCATTACTGGTTGGTGGTTGAGCCTACCCTCTGAAAAATGATGGAGTTCGTCAATGGGTTTCGGATGACATCCCATAAATGAAATGGAAAATAATCCAAATGTTTGAAACCACCAAGCAGATTAATCGTTTGATCCATCCCCATCTATATGAATAGACGAATTTGACGAATTTCATGATGGTTTTTCATCATGGTTAAATCGCCAGAACTGCGTTAAATCCTCTGCTACAAATCCCTTGTATATCCTATCCCATGATTCAGAAACCCTAGTTCTGTCCCCAGTTTTTCGATCCCACTCTCCCACCATTTTCTCATCCCAAAAATCCCCAAATCCGCACGGGTTGGCTTAATCCTACTATCCCACTATAAATAGTGTCCAGGTGGAAAAAATAGAGAGGACGATTTTTGGTTGGTGGTTGAGCCTACCCCTCTGAAAAATATGAAAGTCAGTTGGGATCATGAAATTCCCAAATTTGGTATGCCATTTACTATCATTTACCTACTGATTGTTGTGGGGGACACACCTCTATTAATCAACCAAGCAATGAGAATTTCGGACATCCATGAATACACCCTAGAGTAAACGTTTACATAAATGTAGAGTCTACCCACATTGTCTGGTTGGTGGTTGAGCCTACCCTCTGAAAAATATGAAAGTCGGTTGGGATTACTATTCCCAATATATGGAAAAATAAAACATGTTCCAAACCACCAACCAGTTGTAGTATGTCCATCAATTTTCCCAACCGGTTGTCCCATCGCTTTCCAGATCTATATAAATGCTGTCCTGCAGGGCATGAACATTATTGACCCATCAAAAACCCATCATTCATAAATAATCCTACACTTGCTTAATGCAAGGCAACCCTTGTATTTACCCCATCAATACCCTCAGGTAAACGTTTACATAACTATGGAAAACCACCATGTTTAATGGGTAAATCCACTATTTCTATGGCCATTTTCCAGTTCGCTTTTTGTATGTTTACCAGAGGGTATATAATATCCTATGATATCCTCATGAAAACCCATCATTGCAGCCTTCCAATTTCGTTCAAAGTTTTCTTCTGCGTCCATGTCGACGAATCTCCAGCTGTGTAGATCGCTGCGAGATTGAAGGCAACGGCCAGAGTTAAACGTGTTTTTTTGGATGGACAATATCATGAAATGGAAGTTGAAACATCATTTCCAGCTTCTATATACACCATCCATATATATAGATATATTATGATATATTGAAGTGGAAACCATGATTATCATAGTTTTTTTATACACCAGCTTGTCATGAAAATGGGATGGTTGAATATGAAAGTTGCTTTTGCAAACGGATCTGGTGCATGTGAGCTCAGAACGGCTAACTGTGTGGCAGCGGCGGTGAGGAACTGGGGCGCTGAGTAGAGACTCTGAGCAGCTCCGGTAGAAATGGGGGAGGGTCCCCCCACGTCGCCTTTGGACCAATCCTTTTTGGAGGTGAAGAAAGCACTGGCAGTCTCTCGTGAGAAAAAAACCTCCGGCAATTTTCGAGGTATGGAACATGGCCAATTTACAGATGATTTTCCCAGCGAACTATGGCGCTCCATGTAAGTCTTGGATTTCCCGTTGCTACGTTTGATCACCGGAGGACACCGGAGGGTAATCAATTTGAAACCACATGGAAACCACAATCAAATGTAGGCATGATAGGCAACAGACAGAAACATCGACAGCACTAAGCAAATTTACATAATGGGTAGGTTTTTCATAGAGGCGCATCAGGTCTGCATGTTTTTTCCAATCATCGACTGGGTGCTTTGGGTTGCTAATCCAAACATCTACTTATTGTATTCATAAGCTCCATGTATCGGATAGGGAGTTGCGTAAAGTATCAATCTATCTATCTCTATCTATCTGTCTATCTATCTGTCTATCTATCTATCTATCTAACTCTATCTCTATCTATCTCTATCTATCTGTATCTATATCTATCTATCTCTATCTATATCTATCTATATCTACCTATCCCTATCTATCTATCTCTATCTATCTCTATCTATCTCTATCTATCTCTATCTATATCTATCCATCTCTATCTATCTCTATATATATATATATCTATCTATTTCTATCTATTTCTATCTATATCTATCTATATTTATCTATCTCTATCTATCTCTATCTATCTCTATCTATATCTATCTATCTCTATCTATCTCTATCTATCTCTATCTGTCTATCTATCTATATATATATATATGTACACACACATATGTGTGCCTCTATGACTAGAGGGTATTGACCAATATCCCAAGTTGTGCAGGGTAATCATCCAAACATCTTCCACGCATGGAGCATGTGGGGATAAGCATCGGTACAAACATGGCGGCAAAAGTGCCTCAAAAATCCCTGAAGAAAATGCAGGTTTAGTTAGCTGGGAAAATGGTTAATATATGGTTAATATATGGTTAATATATGGTTAATATATGGTTAATATATGTTAATATATGATTAATATATGGTCAATATATGGTTAATATATGGTTAATAAATGGTTATAATGTTAATATATGATTAATATATGGTTAATATATGGTTAATATATGGTTAATATATGTTAATATATGGCTAATATATATGGTTAATATATGGTTAATATATGATTAATATATGGTTAATATATGTTAATATGGTTAATATATGGTTAATATATGTTCATATATGGTTAATATATGGTTATTATATGTTAATATATGGTTGATATATGTTAATATATGGTTAATATATGGTTAATAAATGGTTAATATATGGTTAATATATGTTAATATATGGTTAATATATGGTTAATGATGGTTAATAATGATTTGACTGGGAAAATCTTTGAACTAAATGGTGGATTTTCAATTGCCATGTTTGATTACAGGAAGCTACTGCTTGGCACATGTTCAGTTTTTTTTTGTGTTGGTACAAATCAGTTTAAGCAGGTTCAAAAGATATGTTCCATAAATATGATCAAATAAACAAGAGCATGACATCAACACCACCAAGCAATACGGTATCCAGAAATAGATCACTCATCGAATTAGGGTGGTGAAGCTGGAGCCAGCCATTTAGTAGTGGACCCTGCATTTTTCTCTACAAAAAGCTGGACCTGAGTCTACAAGGTGGTAGTGCCTGGAAACTCTGTCTACTAAATAAGGGCCTTGGATAAGCTTCTTCACTACCAAATTGTATTGGAAATTTAAAGGGGGATGTAACAACTGGAAAAAATCACTGTCACAAAAAATCCAACTGTGGGATTGTGCAACAATGGCGTTCAAAGGATAGCAAAGGGATCAAAATCGTGTCAAGTCACACGGGCCTACAACATGATTTCTGGCTCTGCTGCGATTCCTGTTTGATCGCAAACAGCGAGCCGATAAAATGGTCTCAAAATACAAGACGGGGGTGACGATAAAATGGAAAAAAGTCCCAGCCTACAAAGTGTGGGCCTCAGCCCCAAGTTGTCTATAAAATATTATAAAATCATATACTAAAACAGCATTCATAGGGGCCACAAGGCCTGCCATTCTGTAGTGGAAATTGGAACCCCGATAGAAATAGCACGAGTTTCTGGGCTTCAAACATACTCAGCTTTGCCATGGTTAAATCATGATTTGTCCACAGGATGGTGCCCCAGTTATAAGTTGGTTTATAAACCCCATAGTTATCTAGTTCGTGATATCTACCATAAACCACAGTTAAGCCACTTATGTCTCAACTTAGCCTGGTTGGTGGTTGAGCCACCCCTCTGAAAAATGATGGAGTTCGTCAGTTGGGATGATGAAATTCCCAAGATATGGAGAAAAAAACATGTTCCTTAAACCAGCAACCAGTACAGGATGGGGCCCCCAAGATAGCTAAGTTGCCTTATAAGTGGTTTAACTATGGTTTATTGTAGATATAACTATAGTTAATGGTGGTTATTTCATGGTTTATAAACCAACAAACATCACTGGGGGGCCCCATCCTATCTTGGGGGCCCCATCCGTCGCTACTAGTTTTCCGATATTTTCGAAAAGGTGAACTCACCATGTTCAAAGAGGGCATCGCCACCAGCTTGGCTGTCCGGACCACGGCGCCCGTGTAGCTGTAATCCCACTTCGGGAGCTCCTCGGCCTGGACGTTTGGCTGGGTCAAGTCGTCTTAAAGACCTGCAGGTCTTAAGCCATCTAGCCCAAAAATATCCTGTACTTTGTATAAGCTAAACCATGATAAACCAGTTGTAACCTCTATATCAAGTTATAAAAGTTATAAATGGTGTGACTTAATGGCTTCATACATTCCATAATTTGGGTGACTTAAACTGACTGACGGGCCTTTCCACTGGTAGCTTGGGCCTCTCCAGCCTTTCCACTGTGACTCCCATCTTTGGGGTACCGACTTGACCCACAGCGCCGCGTGAAAAACTTGGCATTGGATGTATCACATAGTAACTATAGAATCCTATGAAATAGTATTCGAAAGTATAAAAAATATAAAAATGTTATAAAGTATGAAAAGTATTGAAAAGTAAACAGTATTAAACATGTACGAGTAGTATTGTTGCTGTTCATGATGGAGACTGGTGTGATCCACTTGTATGAAATAGATATTAATAGATGATAATAGATGCAATGTAGTGCTTTCAACATGGGAAATTCACCATCACATATGAGATATTCACCAACAAAGAAGGGATTCGATCCAAGCCAAGTTCAAGTAGCAACAGTGGTTCGTAAGTCGGCGATCAAACGCCAATGTTTGCAGGGTCGTTTCCCATGTGTCCTTGCTATTTCCTGGGTGAAGACCCTGTGCTGGTCAAAACCCCCAGTTGCTGCAATCCCAACGTTGGTGATTGAATCCATTATTCTTGTTAAACCCCCAATGTTTTCTGGTTGGTGGTATACCCACCCCTCTGAAAAATATGAGCCCGTCAGTTCGGATGATTATTTTTCCCAACTGAATTGAAAAATAATCCAAATGTTCCAAACCACCAACCAGTCTTAAATGTGTATTGAATTGATGAAACATCAATATCAATATAACGTTGCGTTTCAAAAAACACAACTTGATGTTTCAAACAGAAGCATCAACGAAGAAATGTGGTCACAACATTGACCATGATAGTTGACCCCATGTCAAACCATGATTAACCATGATTAACCATTATTAACCATTATCAATTCATATAATCATTATATTAGATTAACATATTAAACATGTCATGAATCTATGATTAAAAAAAAATAACCATTGTGAAAACCATTATTAACCATTAAGATGAATATATATATATATTTAATATATATATACCCTCTGGTAAACTAACGTAACTATGGAAAATCACCATTTATAGTAGCTAAATCAACTATAAATGGGCCATTTTCAATAGCTACGTTAAATTACCAGAGGGTATATATGACAACATTCATGTTTTTTGACAGTAAAAAACCCATGGTGTTGAATCACCAAATGGGCCATTTGAGGCCCATATGTCAGGCCGGACATGTCCGGCCGATTTGTCGATGTCCGGCCAGGCAGCTTGAAATCTCGGTGAAATCTATGGGAAATGGGTGATTTAACCATATTTAACCATCAAACATGATTGAAATCTCCACATCACTTGACTTCTGAGGTTGAAACGTCCAAGAGCTCGGGCGGAAGTTTCCTGATTTCCCGGACCCTCTGTCAACAGCCACGTGGTTCTACTGGAAATCCCCAAACGAAACGGGAAGTTTTTCTGGGAAAGATATAGGTAAAAATAAAGGAAATACCACATGTATAGTTGATTTTCCCATTAAAAATGGTGATTTTCTATAGCTATGGGGCAGTTTACCAGAGGGTACAATGAAATGCATCATGCATGGAGGTTTATTGCCTTCAAATGAACAAAAAAATCGAAAGGCTGGATTGAAAAAAGTGCTGTGTTTGATTACCAGAGTGTATGAAGCAACAACGATGGTGCTTCAAAACATCAAACATATGAATTTGTGATAGTTTAAGAAACAAACAAGTCGGGTTCAAAAAATGTGAACAATAAGATATACAACAAGAGTAAACTCGAAACATGAGAACAATATCTGGGTAAATGATACCTTTACCAATCAAATGTTGTTGTTGTTGT